AAGACTACTACCTAAGAATGCTACAGACAAAGTTTTAGTGATCATCCATCCATTAGTTCTGTAGAAGAAGATGTTTAAAGGTTTTTCTATTTTTAGCTCTGCTGACCCCTAAAAGGGGCCAATCAAATTAATATGAGCAAACTTGATAAGACACTACCAAAGAATGCTACAGACAAAGTTTGGTGATCATCCATCCATTAGTTCTGTAGAAGAAGATGTTTAAAGGTTTTTCTATTTTTAGCTCTGCTGACCCCTAAAAGGGGCCAATCAAATTAATATGAGCAAACTTGATAAGACACTACCCAAGGATGCTACAGACCAAATTTGAAGTAAATCTGCCCAGTAGTTTCAGAGAAGAAGACGATTGTTGACGAATGACGACGGACGACGGACGCCGGAGCATCCCCCTTTGATACTAATAGCTCACCCTGAGCCTTTGGCTCTGGTGAGCTAAAAAGTTTAGTTATCCTTTTCATATTTTTTAAAGGTCTGTCTAGACATGCTAAGTATGAATCCTTTCCATTAATAAATGACAATGTTAAGAAAATATATATTTATATATATTTCAATCATTTGACGGTCAAGGTTACCTATAGGTCAAGGTCATATGTACATTAATCAACTTCATAATCTTATAATCTGTGGATTAATTACAAAGTAACAGATAATTATAGCAATAATCAGTTAGCCTTCAAGGTCAATGTCATTAAAGAGCCAAGGTCAATTTGAGTTTGATTTACATTAAGGCCTTATCCTTAAGAATGTTCTGTTATAATATGAAGTCAATCCATTTAATAGAAACAAAGTTGCAGCCAGTTACAAAAAAAATAATTTGACCTTCAAAGTCAAGGACATTCATGAGTGATGGTCAAAGTATGTCTGGTTAACTTAAAGGGCTATCTTTAAAGACTATTATGTTCAAGTTTGAAGTTATAGCCATTAGCTTATAGCAAGAAACAAGCAAAATTTTGACATTTGACCTTGAAGGTCAAGGTCATTTATGAACAAAGGTCAAGGTTAGTCTAGTCTACTGAAAGGTCTTCTATCAAGGGTTGTTGTGGCCAAGTATGAAAACAATACACTAAGCACTTAAAAAGCTCTGATCAAGGTACAAGTTTGCAGACGGCAACGCCAACATGACTGTAACACTACCTCTTTTTTCTAAAAAGAAAAGTTGAGTTAAAACATATTAAAAACAATACTTTTGTAACTTTGAATGGAAACACAACTTGATAATCTGTTGTGTAATACTAGTCACAAATCTAGATTCAAAACTTCAACATATGAATGAAAATAAATTCACTTTGTCTAAAAAAAATATATACATGTATATAAGTTATTTGTAATTATAGCACTGATTTTTTTCCCATTAACAACTGATAAGCATTAACTATGATTTCAAAGATAACACAAAAATATAATTTATCACAATTAAGTGGACATTCATGTACATTTTTTAAGTGACAGTGACATAACTTTTTTCATTGTCAATTTGAGCTGAAATGACCTTATATTTCTTAAAATAAAACTCACTCACTAACTCACTGCATACACTTGGTTGGACATAATGTTTCTTTTAACAATCTAACTTAAAAAGTATTTTTTGTACAAATATTGACTAGCAGTTCTATATTACATAAATGGATATTTACAAATTATACATGAATAAAAGTAATAATACAGTAAAATTCTATACAAATATATAGAGAATAACATGCTACTGTCTTTTTATATCAATTTTATCAGGCGAGGCTGATATGGGCTAGAAAGGGCGAGCCTGATAAAATTGATATCAAAAGACAGTAGCATGTTTTTCTATTTATCATGTAACACATAATAACTGTCAAAATAACAAAATAATCTACTTTTAAATAGCGAATTTCGTTAAAAAGGGGGATTTTTGTTCAAAGAAATAATTCTTGAAAACAAATTCCTCCGCCCCTGAAACTTAGAATTTGTAATTGGCGGCCATTTTTTCTTTCGACTCGGATAAAAGATACAACAGAATGTAGGCCTAATACGATAACATTCTTACCTTTAATTTAAACATCGATCCAAAAATCCGCTTAGAATCACATAAACTAAACTTTTATACTGCAATTTTTGTCTTGAATTGTCAAATTCAAAAGTTCACGATAATTTCAATCAAAGAAAAGTCAAATCGGCAATCAAACACAAGCTACACAAACATGCGTCTTATTTTTTAAACAAAACAATTTGTTCACTTATTAAATAATAATCCGGCGAAATAAAGTAAACATTTACAAGTTCTCAAAGAAAATCGTCTAGCCTGTTTGTTATGATTACATGTATAGTATGACGTGGACATCGATGATGTCGTTTGCAATATAAATTATGACGTCACTTCATTTAGTTGGTGCTAAAACTATATTCGCTATCTAATTTATTCGTAATTGAAATCGAAATAATAAATAAATAAATTTCGCATATTGATTTAAGACTTGTAAGGGTATGAGATTACATTGTAGAATTCACATGCTGATGAAAATGAGAATATAAGCAATTGAAAAAAGTCCGTTAAAATGGGCGGGGCTAATTTTTGATAGTTACTGACGTGATATCAAAAATAATTATCAGGCAAGTGTTATCGGGCAGTTACCATAGCAGTTGCATGATAAATATGTATACATGCACTAAATAAATTTTCCTGAGAGTTAATATAACGCAATATTGCACAAGTAGGCTAATTTCATGCCTTGAATTGTCCGAGTTGTATATCCATGTTTTAAACAATACAATGACTGCAACTTTCTGGTAATAACTAAGTGTCAGGTGCTCATTTAGTTTAACTATTAACTAATCATCTCATGATTAGCTGGAGTCCTAAGTTTGGAAGAGTAATGTTAATATCAACTGTTACATATTTTATAAATACCAGTATATTCAAAGAGTTGCTGGACGTCATTACACTAGGTGACTTAAGTATTTGTATACATGCAAAATTTCTCCATTTATATTTTTCATGAATCCGATGTGACACATTATGTTAGTTTAGGACCCATTTTATAGTCTATAATTAAAGAAAATTCCACATGAATGTCAGTTCTTGGATTAATTGAAGCCTCTTGTGAATCTGCCCATTTCTTGGAAGAAGGAATACACATAATGCTGAAAATACAAAACAAATCAAAGTTTTAAAATAACAATCTTACAATAACCAATGTCAGAAGCATTTTGAATTGACATACTTATTATCAGGTCTCTCACATATATTTAGAAAGTTGTAAGACATTATAATGCTCTAAAACATGTTTATATTCTGTGAATTTGGTAAAGATTTCGTAGCTTATTTTTGTGCAAATGTTTACTGTAATGTCACATTGAAAGAACAGAGTTTATTTTTTTCAATTCCATGTACACATGTTTATAAAATAAGAATCCCTAAAGAAAGCTCAAAACGGCATAATGAAAAATGTTACAGGCTCAGTTTGATTGAGCCTGTTCATCGACGGTACTGTTAAGTGCAAACTACCGTCCACGCCCCCTAGTAGCAGCTTAAGCAGAATTCAACATTTAACATGAACTGGTACAATTTTGAATTTGTGATATCACATTTTTCATCAGTCAGAGAAAAGCTATAACAGCAAATTCTAGGGAGAATTGTGACAGGTTTTGAAAAGTCAAATTTTATATTAGCCATATTATATGAAAAACAAGAGCCGGGTGATTCTATAGTTTTTGCCTTTTTGTTGAAAGATCAAAGGCTTGACTGGATATCGCAAAATTCTCAACTTCAGTCATTTCATTCATTTATATTGTTATCTAGCATCATTTGATATTGAATTCCGTGCATAGATATTGTCTGATTTTTTATATTTTATTAATGAATCGGGTGAGCAACACTTCAGAGTCATTACCACAACTTTTTTTAAATGCAAAATAGTGAAAAATGGGTAGGGATATCATTTGTTCATACAAGGTTATTCAGTAAAACGACCTCTATTACATCTTTTGATTTAATAACATGTTAAATCTATGTTCAGAAAAACTCGTATCATTTGACAAATCAGGAACCTCCATAAAAGTAAAAAAATACCAACATTAGAATATATTTTTCACCTAAATAGGGATACAAATGTTAAAAATTTTTGTTGTATAATAAATGTATAAATGAAATAAATGAGAAATGCTTAAAATTGTCTTCGATATTTCTTAAAAGGGAAAAAATAAAATTAAAAACAAGTGAGGTTATGGTAATGACACAGCGTTGTGGAAGTGACACCTGCGTTATGGTGATGACAATTGAAATCTACATCTGTGTTGAATGCTTATTTACGTAACACAATAGTAACTAACAAAAACTTTATTGCCGATAGAACATGAAAATACAATATTATAACTTTAATTGGTCATACTCATGTTAAACATGAAAAAACGTAGTTGTAGTAAAACTGTAGATAAACATTCAAAATTTTGTAACATATAGAGCTAACACACATTAATTATAATTTAATTACCAAATGTGTAATAGTATCATATATGCGGCCATATTTGATAATATTTACTGAGTCTCTGCTTTGATAATCAAACAACGAGAGAAAAAACACTCAGAATTTATATAGGTCAGTCTTAAGAATCTAAATTCATTTCTGACACGATGCACTTCCAAATTATTGACGGAAGTTCACGGTGCCTGTTTGTGACCTTCTGTGGTTCTTCCTTGAGTAAAGTTACCACTTTCTGTTTATGGTACCATATCCTGTCCTCCAATAACGGCCAAAAAAATCTATTTACACCAATTCTGTGCATCACTTTAACCTCTAAATCATTTTCATCAACGTCAAGAATCAATCCTGGATATGGCATGTTCTCATATTCTACTACACAGTACAGTCCAATCAATGATTCTTCAACATTAAGAATTTTCTGAAGCACTGAGCTCTGAAAAAAATTAACACAATAATATATTCATCATATTTTAAGATAAATACAGTTTATCATCGCATACTTTTATATGTGATAGATCTATGCAATTACATGTATAATTAAAATAAAAGTTCCATGGACATTCTGAAACCTGAATAACAATTCATAAATTATATATTGTAAGTTGATTTTTTAAACTCTCTTTCAAAAAACAGAATCATATTAAGCGTATAGATCTATATATTAATAATTACCGAAATATTCGTTCGTACAGACACAGTGGTGCTAGCACATTCCACTTCAGCAGATGAATTTGGTGTCCCCTGAAAAGAGTTGTAATTTAGAGCTGTACTAAAATAACACCCCACAAATAAGGGTTATAAAAAATTTTATTGTAAAAAAAAACTTTAAATTAAGGCCATTTTGGGGTTAAAATTTAAAAAAAACCAACTTATTTTTTTAATTGTTTTATTAAAAAGTTTAAAAACTTTTAAACTATAAAATGTTTTACCAATTTTTCTTTTTTTGAAAAAATTCCCTCTACAAAAATGAACCCTTTTTTGACAGTTTTTGAAAGAGTACAATTTGATTTTTTTGGAAAATGTTTGAAATTTTAAATTTGCTATTTTGCCCCAAAGTATTACCTTTTGACAGGGAAATGTTTGTTAAGAAAAAAAATTTCAAAATTAAAAACATTTTCGCCCAAATTTTCGGGAAAAGAAACAACTTCCAAAAAATCGAGAAAGACACAACCCTTTCTGCCCCCTTAAACAACCAATCTTTAAAACAAAATTAAAATTTAATTTTTATCACCATGTTATATCGTTTCTATTCGTTTCTACTCAGTTCAAATCAAATTTTTTTTTTGGAGACTCTTTTCCTAATTTAACTAATTTATTATCCTTTTCCCCAAAAAATATTTCAAGTATAAAATTTTTTGTTTTCTTAAAAATTTTTCAATTTAAATTTTAATGAATTATTACTAAATAAACTGATAATGAAATTACGATATTATTACCTGATTAGCCTTTCATTGTCTCTTTAACAGAACGAACATCATTTTAGCCGGTATTAGTCTTTTCCACTTGTCGTTTGTATTAATCACTCAGGCCCTATTTTACGAAAAAATTTCCCTTTTAAAAATAACCATTTTAATTAAGGTTAAATCATTTTAAAAAGCTAAAATTTTTAAAAACTGGGGGAAAAAGCGAATGTTTTGTATGACTTTTGAAGGGGGTTACAAGATTTTAAGTAAGCTATGATTTTTCTTCAGGCAGAACGATTTAAAGTATTTATAACTTATGAAAGATACAAAATAAAAATAATTTAACTGTAATAAAACCGTAATTTAGAAGCCATTCTTATATTTGGTTGACGCATTTTTCACATCTGTATGTTCACTGAATATTTGTTATATTGCCCTGTGCATTCAACTAAGAATTTATATACATACCTTCAATCAAATCTGCTGTTTTTAGTGATATCTTGACCTTTAGTGTTCACAACAGTATCTGCTGTTCTTT